AAAAAAAAAAAAGAGTCTCAGTCCTCCAGGAAACCAATCAACACAAAAAAGTAAAAAGCTTAACAAAGCAAATGTTAAGTATGGTACTGGGTTGAAAAAATGGTACTAATGGGAATTTGGGGAAAACGGTCTCGTCCTCACAGCAGAGGAGAAAGGGAAGAAAGAAATGGAGGAAGAAAAACCTGGAGCCTCCAAACTAGACCCCATGATTTCAAGGTCTCTCTACCCCATTCCACAGGCCCAGCTTAGCTGACCTATCTTCCTTGAACCCTGTCCTTTACTGTGCCATTTTTCTGCTCAATGCTTTTTTAATTCAATGCAAAACCTCCACCACTACTAAAATGACCCTAAGAATACCTCTCAGGATTTTTATCAAGATTAACTGAGGTGCTATATGCAAAGATATTGACACAGGGCCTAACACAAAGGAGATACCCCACAAATGTTTTCTTTTCAAGGGCTCTCTATTTCCAATGCAAAGCCCTGGCTCTGACTTTTCAGTCTGGCCATGATCTGGCCCCCTACCTTCCCAGCTTTCCCTGGCATGGCTCTCCAAACCGAACGAACCCTTCTTGGCACTGGACAGTTCCCCTCACCACCTCTCAGACAAGCCTTCATCAGGTCAGCCCCTTTCTTGGCTCCTGAGGGCAGCTTTCTACACTCCCCAAACTCTCTCATTGCGTAATGAAAAGCTGGCCTTCCTTCACGGCCCAGCTCAGGAGCTGCCTCCTCTGTGGTATCTGTCCCCCGTGTTGGTTCCTATGCTGCTCCATTCCACAGAAGGCAAGGAGAGACCAAGGAAAGAGGCAGACAGACCACTCCAGATTGGAAGGCAGCAGGCTCAACAAGCAAGGAAACTTACCTACAGGGTTGTCTTGGGCATCCTCAGGATGAGTAAATCTCTGCACCTGCCTGCCTGAATCTTAAACGTTTCATAGAGGCCTCAACCGGGTTCAAACACATATACCAGGCAGGTAGTCTCAGCACCACAGTGCTCTCTCAAAGCTGTGTCTGGTGGTCTCTCTCAGACAAGTGGGAAGAGTGTACATTTCAAGCACAGGGGGAGGGAAAAGGAGCCTCCAGGTCAGCTCTCGGATCAACTGGAGGTCATGACCTCTCAATGATCCCTCCTCCTAACCATTGTATGCAATCTCACCTGCGCCCTCTTCTGCTGTGCCCAGAGTGGTCAGCAAGGGCTTTCACCAGCACCGAGGTGGCTCATTTGACAGCCACTTGGCTGCACTTAGAGGCAGATACCACAGCAACACTATAGGCACATGCAAAAGAAAACATAGATTAAGATAATGATCCTCATTATAAGTAACATTTTTTCCCATCAAGAGTCCCATGATCCAAACCGTTCATTTACCAAGTCTCCAAGGCTGGGGGTCAAACTGATGAGGTTTTTGGGGGTGATAGTAGGGTTCGTGGGGTCCGGAGCCCACAACCAAGAAAGAATTTTTGAAGACATCTTTGGTGCAAAAAGGTGACTTATTGAAGCAGGGGGCAGGACCGTGGGCAGAAATTGCTGCCCTGGGACCATGAGGAAAGACTGGTTATATCTATGGGGTTGGGGAAGGTAAAGTCCAGGGGAAGTTTTTAGTGAGGTTTTCATATGCTAAAGAAGCCTCACCGGATACTGGAGTCCTAGCTATTGCCAAGCTAAAGTTGTTTTTCCCTCTAGCAAAGCATTAATTAACAGGAAGACAGTAAGGAGTTACTGGAGAAACATTTTACTCTGCCAGCCTCAAGTATTTGTCAATGGGCTGCAGGTTACAAGGAAATTGAATTCTATCTGCCATTTGCCTCTGCCTTTGTTTCACATATCTCTATGGAGGGGTGACAGAAAGTTAGGTCCTGCAGGACTGTGATCTCTACCAGTTCATCATTTGTTGTTCCCCTTTCCTTTGTTCTTGGGCAGCCAGGAGTACCTAGGAATATCACACATATCCCACCTGGGAGTGGGAGGTGGTATTTGGGGCCAGTCAACTTGCCTTATGCTCCCTCATCAAAATCACTCAGGGCATTCACTTGAGTTTTTGTGATTTAATTAGCAGAATCAACAGGTGTGAACAGACAGCATTCTGGCACAGGTGCCTCTTTTAGAGGCAATAATAATGTCCAAAGCCGTCCTGTTTTGGAGGATAGTTTTTCTCATTAGAGACATTTGTATATTTGGTAAGGACAGACTTTTGCTGGCTATCGTTTAAGGCTTGGTGGGTGAATGCAGTAAGGGCGTCTGTGTGTGCCATGACATCCTACAGGCCAATGGAGGGACAAAGACGGTGGCCAAATTGTACCAGTTGAAAACAGAACACACCCACCTGGCCTTGAGGAGGGGGAGTTTGGCAGCTTTAGGCACCTGACCTGGTTGTGCATGCCATACATGTGGGCCAGGAGAGGCAAGGGAGAGGAGATGAACTGGGGGGAGCATATGCCAGATCAAGACCTTCACCTTCTCCCTCTTTCAATGATGTACAGTCCATTTCAGGCATAGTACATTTCAACAGGTCCAGCTTGCAGCAGGACAACTGGATCCCAGAGGAGCCTGAGCAGTTCCCTTTTACCAGGGATGTGAAGTAATTCACACATTCCGGCACGACATCCCATTGCAAACTCCAACAGATAATGCCTTTCCCAGGTATGATGGGCCTTGGTGTTCTCAGCAGCATTGCCCAGTGATTCATAGTGAGAGTGCGGCAAGGGCTATTTTTCATGACTTCCATATCATTGCCATTTTTAGTGTCTTACTAGGAGTCCCCAATCTGGTATATGGGGTAATGGTCCCTACTGATTTTTCTTTTGAATGTATTAAAGTCTGGAAGAGTATTTTAGCCCATCCAGCCCAATTATTTTACTTGTTAGTAGTTTAATCTACTGCTTTCATGTTACATTTTTTCATTCTACCAACCTGATTGCTTGCAGGTTATAAGGGGAGATGGGACCTACATTCACTGCCATGTTGTTTTGCCCAGTCTTTTACATCATGACCTTTGATTTTTGTTTTTCTTTGTTGTTGTTGTTGTTGTTGTTTTAAGTTTATTTATTCTTGAAAGAGAGAACGCGCGCACACACAAGCAGGGGAGGGACAGAGAGAGAGGGAGACACAGAATCCAAAGCAGGCTTCAGGCTCCATCACTAGTTGGGAACTCCAGTGGATGTCCCCAGACTCCTTTGGTAATGGCCTTGGATGTTGTTTAGAACAGACATGATGTTAGTGCATTAACCTAGTCACTGTATTTTGGGGGCAGTATGATATCCTTGGCCATATGCCATCTTATTTGGGTGCTATAGTGACCTCTCTTCATATGTGTCCAATCTGCTTTATCTACTGATGGATCAGTTGCTAGGGTTTGTACCTGGGCTAGGGCTTCAGCTTCCCAGATTGCAACAGGGTGTCAGTACCTTACAATCTGGGATGTGGAAGACAGTGAGGACTACTTCAGGCTCTTGCTGATGGACCAAAATGTCTTTCTACATATCCTGACCCCTCAAGGACTTATTCATGAATATCTATCCTTTGGCTTCCAATTATTTAAGCCATAGGGTTCATCTCTGTAGTAAAGTCCAACTGTCAGGGCAAAGGGTTAACAGGCAGGATGCATTAGTGATCACCAGCCAAACCACAGGGTTCAACCCATTGGCTGTTGAGGTTCGTTCCTACTTGGATCCAGATGGTGTTGGTGTTGGTCTGAATGGTAATTGCAGTACATATAGAAGGTTGCCCTGACTAGACCCATCTCTATACCAGGCATGGGTAGGAATTTCCCCCATTTTCTCTCTACAGGCTGCCAGGGCCTCACGGGCTACCACAGGAAAAGGGGTGGGAGCATCTGGAGGATCTACATACTCAACATGGGCTAATAGCACCCACATTTTTGAGACAGTGGGCTCTCTCTCCTCTGCTGCAAATAGCCAAGCCACTTAGTCAAAGGGGGGGTTTGGCCATGGCAGAGGCGGGTCAGTGGGACATATTTTTAACACATCTCTTGATGGGAGGAGAAGTTTCTATCATGATATGCTGTCCCTTCATGAGACACTCTACCAGGAGGAACACTGGGAATACTGCTAGGAGCGTTGTTCTATAGGAGCATATTGGATTTCTACCCCCTTCTAGAGCTGGGACTAAAACCCCAGGGGTACTCTGTCCTTTGGTTGTCTCTGTTATAGTGCCCAGCCCATACCTTGTGGAGTCACAGACATGGTAGCCCTGCTTGGGAGAGGCCCGGAGCTTTAGTCTCCTTTACTAATATTTTCGCTTTCTCAAAGGCAGCTTGTTGTTTTGATCCCCAGTTCTATATGTGCCCTTTCTTTACTAAGTGGAGTATGGGGTGGAGGCACAGTACCAGGTACAGAATAAACCTCCAAACCCATACAAAGACTTGCATCTCTTT